ACGTCTTCACCTCCACCGTCGAGACCTCATGAGTTAGGTAGGCATTCATATCAGCGGTTACTAGGCTAGGAAGGTGGAAGAGAGACGTTTCAAGATCGGACACTGAAGATACAGAGAAAATGGTATTAAAATAGTTAATAGCCGTTTGCTCTTCCGTTAGTATATCCACAATCTTATTATGTGCTCTACGAAATTAAATTTTTATTTATTTTGTTATTCAAACAATATGTTAGATTTTGTAATTACCATTTGAATCATTAGTTATTTCCACAGATTCTACTATAAATCATCAATTAATTCCGCTAGTGTTAAATCAAATTCTCCTCTTACCATTTACACATTTATTTTGGTCAAACGATTTATATATAGTTAATAATTTATTTATTAATCCCCAACGGTATAGGTTCAACTGTAAACCAATGTGCTACGAGAAACAGTAAACCGCAAGATACTCGATTGCCACACGTCCCTTCCCTATTGGATTACACAACACAATACACCCAATGAATCAAAAGGACTCTAAGCTCCGCCGTCAACAGCGGCGCGTGCCTCCCGTTTCCTCTCAGCGGCGGTTTCAGCTCGGCTCTTAACCCATTTCAGAATGTCACCATAGACCAGATCCACATTCTCCTCGGACTCGCCGACCATTTGATGCCACAACTCAGGGTAGATCTTGATCGTCTTATCCTCGCTTGTTGCTCTCCGATGCAGCTCCTCCACACACGCAACGTCACAAACAACGTCACCTCCACCGTGCACGATCAGAAACGGAACATCCACCTCCTCGAACCTCTCCTGCAGCTCCTTGCATATACGAATCAGCTCATAAGCAGTGGCGGCGCGTGGTCTCGCCACCGTCCTCCTAGGGCTAGCCATGGCAAGCTTCCTTTTCCATGGCTCCTTAAACGAAACATCAGGGATAGATCCACGAGTTGGGATGACTCGCCAGGTCGGGATAAGATTCGCGACTACGAACAGCAAATGCTCTAACGGCCACGGCGGTTTGAATTTATCGCTGATTCCACACATGGCACCGTTGAGGATGAGTCCATCCCAAACGCCTCTTTGACGAAGCGAGATGTAAAGCGCGATTGCGCCGCCTAAGGACTCGGAGTAGAGAAAACACGGCAGATCCGGCGGAGATTGACGGTTACGGAAATCATCGAAGAAGGAGATACAGTCATCGACGACGGGATTGATGTCAGGGATATGAGCGATTAGACCATCGGAGAATCCATGGCCTTGGTGATCGATTGCGCAGGTAATGAAACCGGATTTAGCAAAGAGGATTGATGTGAGCTGGAGGAACCAGCTGGATTCGCCGGTGAAGCCATGAACGACGGCGATGATACCGATAGGAGTGGTGGGAGGGAGTGGAGACCACCATTGAGTGAAGAGTTTGAGGCCACGAGGGTTGGTGATGAAGGCGGAGGAATGGCTAACGGAATGTTTAGCGTAGAATTCGTCGGCGGAGAGAGAGCCGAAGGGATTCCGTTCGTCGGAGTCGGAGATTGGATGCAGACCCATTTGTTGGATTTTTTTATCCAATTTTGTTTGAGAGGTTATTATTATTAGGGGAAAAAGAGAGTGTGTGGGGTTTTGGTTAACCGTTGAGGATTATTAATAAATGACGTGTAATAAATGAGGGTAGGATCTGGTGGGGTAGGGAGACATGCTTTTAGTGTGGACGCGCCAACTACTCCCTGATTTTAGTGGGTACGCTTCTTCGTTTTCAATAGGTTCTAAAATCTTTTTTGCGTTTAAATTTGTTTCAGTACGATGCTACCCGTGGAACAACTTGAAACTTTTTTTGAAATATATAAAGATATTCAATCGGTAAAACCATTGTTATTGGGTCAACTTTTCCGATTTAGGTAGTAAGGTTTTATGAGGGATATAATGCAATTTTGTTTGAATGTTGACCTATATTTACCATATGTTTTCACTCCATCTCTATTAGCAAAACCATATGTACGCGATATAGTAAAGGTTTTATGAGGAATGAATGCAAAATTTTGTTTGAATATTGACCTATATTTACCATATGTTTTCACTCCATCTCTATTAGCAAAACCATTTGTACGTGTTATTTCCAACTAAGACAAAGTCGGATTGAATCCGAAACCCGAAATCGGATTATCATTGGAAGCAAGATTTTGTCTTCCTCTCAATCCTTCGAGAGAAGAGAGAGAAAAGCTCAAATTAAGTTCTGACCGGAGAGATCTCTAATTGTTAATAACTTAATAGTATATTATTACATAAGCAAGAGACATAAAAGTGAAATCAATATCCTAAATGTTATGCACCTGAGTTTTTTCTTTTTCTTTCCTTCTCTTATAATACCCTAAGAATACACTAAACTGAAACATAATAAAAAAATTGTACACGAAAGTAAGACACTTCTCAAATATAGGGAAACTTACTAAAATAGTCTTAATCAATGTTTTTTGACAATTTTGATGCTAATCTTTCATAATTACTCAAATAATTTTGAAAGTTTTTTAAAACCTGTTTTGTCCTTATTTCTTTTGATAATAAAAAACGTATTTACAAAACTGCCATTAATGAGTTTCCCGCCAAAAGCGAATAAGTCTACCGGTCACGTGATGGTAGATTTATTTAGTGGCTGGTAGATTTATTTAGTGGTTGGTAGGTTTGTTTTTGAATGGTATACTTATTGTTGAGTGGTAGATTTATCTCGGTAGACTTATTTTTAGGCAGTAGTAGAGATGTTTTGGAGTGGTAGAGTTATTGCTATCAATGGTAGATTTGTTTTTGAATGGTAGACTTAGTAGTCGATTGGTAGATTTATCTCCGTAGACTTATTGTTGAGTGGTAGATTTATTTCTATGTGATGGTAGATTAATTACTGGTGGTAGATTTAAATGACTTCATGGTTGATTTAAATTCGGGTATGGTAGATTTAATTTTGTGAACGGTAGACTTAATTTTGTGAACGGTAGACTTATTGATCATCGTGATGGTAGACTTGTTTATAGTGGCGGTAGATTTATATGATATAGTAGACTTATTACTCTCTTTGATAGATTTATATTTGTTGATCGTTAGACTTATTGACTGTTAGCGATGGTAGACGTATGTTGGGGTCAAAACTCCCCTCGGCTAAAATAACTAGGAAAATGACTAAGTATTATTTCCTGGCAAGCTGACTAGGTATGGCGAGCTGACTAAGTTGTTTAGCAAGCTGACTAGGAGATTGGTGAGCTGCCTAGAGCGAGTTAAAATGAAGAGCTCGCCAAGGGACTTGTTAGATCATAGGACGAGGTGACGAGCTCAATTATACCAAGGCCCAAGTCACAAGCCGACAAAGTCAGACTCGAAAGAGATACGTGACGAGCTAAAGGCCCATGAAGATAGAATCGACTTCGATAACAGGAAATTCCTAGAAATTAGGAAATCTTCCTTATCTCTTTAGGAGTTGGCCTAGCCGACTTAAAACTTGTATAAAAAGACTTGTACATCTCTTGAGAAAGGGATCTGCAATTTTACTTACAAACACTTTGCAAGAATCAATAAAGCTTTTCATTACAGCAAATTCACATCTTTGTTCTGGTCTTAGTAGTTCTAGCTCAAAGATCTCAGCTTTCCTCTAAAAACCCTAACAAATCCTATTGTGTTGGTTTCGACCTCCACAACGTATTTATAGTGGCGGTAGATTAATATTATGTAGTAGATTTGTTACTTTCCTTGGTAGATTTATTCAATATTTTCAGGTCTTTACTACAACAAATCTACCAATCTTTGGTAGATTTGTTGCTTTTTCAATAATGATGGTAGACTTGTTTGGCTAGATTGAGTTACGATAGACTTTTTTTTTAATTTTGAATGACGATAGACCTGTTTAGATTCGGATAAGCGTAATGGTAGATTTAAAAAATAAGCGGCATGGTAGACTTGTTTGTGGTAGGTGTAGACTTGTTTAGATTCGGCATGGTAGACTTGTTTGTGGTAGGTGGTAAACTTGTTTAATGAGTACGCAAAATCTCTGTTTTGCCCTCAGACGGACCTTGAACGGTGAAGAACTAGGATAGCCGCCACCATAGCTTATTTTTTTCATTTTGACAAACCTCCTCTCTTGAATATCAAATTCTTACCTCAACCTTTACTTCTTAAACTCGATATTTGGTTGATTTGCAATGGAACAAATAATTTTGGTATGTGGCAGTTGGAGTTTTCCAAAAAATCGATGGATCTTGTTTGTGATAAGTC